AATTTGCAAGTTTCAAGTCCAAGCACTTAATCCATATCCAAAGAAGTACAGAACAATACAACCAACAGAGCACATAGCAAAAGCTGTATAGCCTAAAATGAAAACAAAATTATCAGTTTCAGAGAATTCCATGTCTCTGCTTGGGCAGGATACTATCCATCCATCCTCATGTGCTTGCTGTTGTCATTCTGGTCAGAGTATTTTTTGTCCCATGCTATTTTGTACCATAGAGAACAACTACATCTCCCACAACAGTTACAAAGAATGAGAAAAATTGATGGGACTTGAAGGTTATCAAATGAGCGATTAATTACATTCAAGTTGGCCTGTGCTATGTAGTGTTCGAAAAATGAATGGTGACCGCTAGGTTGATAGAGCACGGGAAATTAATCCCCTGTGTAAACTGACCACACGAACAAGAATGATCGTTGAACAGAAAACAAGTAGAAGTACTTGTGCTCCAGTTTTGGATGKACTTTTCCCTCAGAATTAAAAGAACTGGAAGAAACTCCACCACCAAGCATTCTCTTGTTACGTCACACCGCTTCGAATTTGAACTCAAGCGAGGATATGGATACGGGACAGTCATTTTCCGCATCGTAATCGGCCCATTCCCCGTCTTCGAATTCAATTTCTTCATCAAAGACGTATCCTTGCTCGCTGGTGATGATAAATTCGTCCTTCATCGGGTGAAAGGCATAGGGCTCCAATCCCCTGCATTCAAGCGCCAGGAGTGGCACCCAGTTGTCGGTGTCGTCCTCTCCCGTAAATGCCCTCGGTCCCCCGTCCTTGTATTTCTTCTTTTTCAGCGCGGTAGCTGTTTCCTTGGCCTCGAGGCACCGGAGAACGGAGGCCTTTTTCGACCCCTCCCACCGGATCGAGAGATGGCGAGGTGGTTCTCTCGAAGATTCATCATCCGGTTCCTCGGTCTCGCTAGGGTTGAACACCACCTTTTCCCTCTTCTCCCAGTCAGAGAGAGAATTTCGGACGTCGATCCGAAGACTGACGTCTTCGGTTCGGAGCTGGATTTCACCGATGTTTTCCGTCTCGGCCTTCATGAAAAGCATGTACAGCACCATCTTTGATGTTTTGTTACAGTAAATATTCTTCTCACGTTACCAGTACGGAACATCAAGATCATATGGGTACGAGTCGAAATGAAGGGCGTCCCAATCGAAGCTTGTCCGGTACTATCAGGTATCGTCGCGGCTAAGGGTTTTTTGTTTGCGATTTTCGCAGACTCATCAGCATCAGGATCAAAATCAAAGTGAAAAATGTGCAAACCTACGGTACCAAAGTGTCGTAGATTATTCGAAAGCACCTGCATGCATGCACGACCGGTACGTACAGTACCCTGAAGTAGAGGAGTATGAAAAAATTACTAGTAAAACCTTTCGTATTGAGGACAACCTTACTTTAGGTTAAATTACTGCCTATTTGAAAAATTGCGTGGAAAATGGGAAAAGGCTTACGACTTACGGTAGCCGAATATGTACGTAATGTATGGTTACAATTTATTAATCATAGGATTCTCAAGTAAAAAGATTTGGTAATTTTGTACTTAAATGTGCCGTGACAATGTAAAGACGGACGAAGAGGAGATGCAACAATCAGAATCAGAAATATTATGACGTACGTACGTTCCGTACTGTATTTTACTTTTACTGGAATTCAGATAGAATGTACCGTAAGGAATTTGCCCCCCCCCCCTACCGGTACGTCACCACGGCATCGGGGTGTTGAACGAAGCTGAAGATGACATTTTGATTTGCATGTACCATAGTCTCCAAAAGTCACGAAATTGGAATAATCGAAAGAAACACAAAAATCAATTTTTGATGTCGACTTCCTGTCATGTTTCGTGGGAAACTTTTATTCTCTATATCCTCCTCGGTGAGCAATACCGAGGAAGAAGCTCGAATCCGTCGTGAGCTTCCGCATCTTCTTCACCAAGACGAAACGATCGAGCTGGCTTTCAGAGATCGCAAGGGCAAGTGAGTATTCTGACATGTCGAGAATCAATTTCTGATTTTAACTTAGCGCAACACTCATGATTGTTTTCTTACAACACATCCACTAGAGGTCGAGATGCGGACTACTTCACAAGCCACCGGATGCTCGTCTTGGATGGAAGGAGTAGAGGAGGCGAACGAAAGAAGTATTTCAGTCTGCCTTATTCAACTATCACCTGGTACTCAGTCAAAACAGCTAGAAAATTCGATCTAGATTCAAAAGTCCATGTATTGAGTGACACAATGAGACTCACAATCGACTTTACGAAGAGCGATGTTGACATCTTTGAGGTTTACCAGTTTTTGAATTCAAAGATTTCAATTGAAAAACTGAAAGGTACCCCAGATTATGTCGACCCAACTTCACCGAGCATGGACAAAAAGTAAGGCTTGAAACAAAGAATAAGAGGAAAGCTGTTAATATTGTTGATTTTCAATCTAATTCAGTATATCGCTGCTTCCTTGTTTTAAATTACTTGAACATAAAAGGGAATCCTCTCTTGGTAGCATGATGAATTGGTTACAAGACGACGGGCACCAGATTGATGCTAAGGAGGCAGAGAACTATTTCAAAACAAAATTTCCAATTTTTTCTGAAGTTGAGGAGGTCCAAATTGCCTTCAAAGATAGGCAGAATTTCAAGCTATTTACAAACATGCGCCTTCTATTCGTTCACGTCAAGGGTTTAATCGAGAAGAGAATCGAGTTTGTGACAATCATGTACAGTTCCATTCATTCATTTTCGGTCGAGTCTGCTGGACTTTTCAAACGTTATACGGAAATGAGGTAAGATCTCCGCATACGAGGTAAATTAGACACCGGGAAGAGATGAATTAATATGAATGCTTCAATGGATAAATTTGTTCTCACTTGGTTGTGAACATGCGACATGATAATTAAATAGATTGCACTTGCCCCACTTGGGTGAACACAATTGTATCACACAAGAATTTCGAACGGGCGAAGCAAATTTGTGGGCAATTCAGAAGGTATGTTTCCGGTAGACCTTGTTCAATGCCTTTACTTCGTATTTCTCTAATCAATTGATGATCAGGTCCTCTGTAATCACATTTTGGGAAAAGATAAAGATCCCATAGCTGGAGCTGATCAGTATCGAGATAGTGAAGCTTTCACCAACCTAAATGGTGTCCTGACAAATATGCAGCAAACTATGGACTGTGCAGTAATACAAACGACATTGAAGGCCGATCCTCCGATTCTGCAAGGCAGCGAGCAGGTGGAGATTGCGTTTCAGGGTTTTCGTCATGTTACTTTGTTCACAACCAAAAGGGTCATCTTTATCGACAAAAAACTATGGAATGCTGGCAGTATCAAGTATCTTTCGTACCCTTGGAGTAGCTTTCTTGCCTTTGAAGTCCATCCAGCGAACTTCAAACTCTTCGATACTAAAGTTCATTTATACACTGAGCTGCAGTTTTATCCTGGAGAACCAAAGGACGACGATAATCCAGTGAGTAGAACTACCAAGGAATTGGCGGTGGACGTTAAATATCCGTTTCGAGAGCTAACACGCAATGTTTCAACACTGTTTCATCACTTTGTTCGAATTCAAATTTGAAATACGCTGCTAGTCAGGGATACCCGCCCGACCCGAACTAAGTTGTTTGTAAGTGTTTGATATTCTACGGAAAATGACCTTTTGCTGTGCTTGTCAGTTTCTTACATTAATTTACAACGATGGTTTTTCTACCAGGTGCTTGGAGTTTGACAAGAATTGTGTTGATGCAATCAGGCTCAAATATTACTTGTCAAAAAGAATTATTGAGGTTGACGATTTGAAGCTGGGCGCTCCTGTTGCAATGCCTATCTTGACAGAAGAACAACGTGACTATGGTCGTACTTTCCAATGGCTTGGCGATCCTCAACGAGGCTTGGATCCCATCGAATTGGAAAGAGAGTTCCATACGAAGTCAAAAATCCTCCTAGATGAAGAAAAGATCTTTCTGGCTTTGAGGTCAGTGTCACATATATTTCTGTGCACCAATCTTCGTGTAATGGCTATTCTGGTATCTGGTCTATCGAATATGAGGTTTCTGTACACGTCTCTGCCGTACCGCTCGATTCGTTATTACAGCGTTTATCTGGGACCTGCATCTGTGGGGATGAAATCATCTGTTTGCATTTATACTCGCAATCGATGGAATCTTGCCTCTATAGGATTCTCATTCCTCGCCGGGACGGCTGATGTCTTGCAACTTCAAGAGATATTGAGCAGTTTCATCGTCGGATGCCATACTGATCCAAAAGTAGTCTTCAGACCGAAAACTTGCATTGGATACGAGAAAAATCCATTTGGGCTCAATCGTTTTCTTCCGATGGCAATCGAAATTAACCCAGAACAATTGAACGTCCAATTTCACCACGTGTATCCGTTGCTTTTGGAAGAAGAAACTGTTCTTAAGGCTTTGGAACAGGGCACAAAATTTTTTCTGTACACAAATCTCCGACTAATCATTGTCACTGGACGAATGGACTTCGTCAGCGTACCCTATAAGTCGATCCATGGCTTTTTCTTCGAGACAGCTGCTCGTTTCGACCCCAAGGCTAGTATCTCCCTATACACCACTAGTGCAAGATGCACCCAAACGGACAAACCACGTGTTTGTAATCTCCTAATCTCCTCTGTTAATATATCGCCAAAGCAAACAGATATTTACAAGATGGCTCACTTCATTTTGGATCACACGATCATTCACCCCCCAACCAATGTTGGTGCGGCTCCACCAAGAGTGATTATGGCCACTGAGGCGGTGCAGGCACAAGATTCTGATGAAGGCATCATTGTGGCCAGTGAGGCGGTGTTGATTCGTAAGTGATTCAATAGTTCAAAGAGATAGATGCGTTCAGCACGTGATGAACAGGAACGAGAAAGCTAATGACCCGTGTACACGGAAATGACAAAAAGTCAGAACTTTAATAGCGATCAATTGTAAGAGTGCTCTGATGCTAGAGATGTAAAATTTGAGTAACCTTTCTTCAACCAGTAGTAGCAGCTCCGAATGGGGGAGAACTCTGCCGTCTTGCTCCAGTTTCCTAGTTACAAGCAATGTCCTTGATTGGGATCGAGACACAAATCGCTGTAGTTGCGAATTAGATTTCGTTGCAAGCTGTCTTGCTGGATTAAAAAAGAGCGAGTGTTGCAATATGTCATATCTGTGGCGTTGCTCGTACAGCGAGTGTACTCAGAATTTGTATCGGGGGAGCTCATGTTGAAGTAGTACTATAGTGTGACAATTATAGTAAGCGCAGTCGAGAGCTTTAGCTCGAGACTGCGATGTCGCCAAAGATAGCACAGTCTACAAGAGCGACGGGTCTGACTGATGAAGCAACTGCCCACATTGTCCATCCTCAGGACCGGGTTGCCTTCAGTTGTCGAACTCACTGGGCAGCAGAGTAGTATGGGCAGATGCCGATGTCCTTGTCACAGCCGTCTCCTACGGTCACTCTGTTGCAAAATTCCCATTACTCTGCCTTTATTTTAGGACTATTTCAGATTTGAATCCAATATCCCCTGTCCATTTGGTGATGGGCGAACTCATTGGTTCGATCGTGCCAAATCTGTTGTTTTCTGTTTCGTCGGATCTCGCCTCCAACGGTCGCTCTATTGCCAGCATTTCAGATTGGAATCAATTATGCCTTGTTTACTCCTTGATGGGCGAGCTCATTGCTTCGATCGTGCCAAATCCGCTGTTTTCTCTTTCGTCAGATTTGGAACGATTCGCAGCCATCTCCAACGGTCTCTCTATTACCGGCGTCCTTTACTCTGCCTTCGTTCGCCAACTATGCCCTATCTATTTGATGTTGGGCGTCTCATTGCTTCGATCGTGCCAAATCCGCTGTTTTCTGTTTCATCGGATTTGGAACGATCGAAAGATTCAATTGAAATTTTTAGTTTTGTGCCGTAGGTACTAGTAGGATTATTTTTGTTACAAGTATTACAGTATTACTTATTATTTTCTTGTTTTTGATATTTTTACTGTATTACCTTTACGTACTGTAGTTATTTATTTACTGTATCGTAGCTAGTCGTAGAAGTTCGAACAGCAATGGAACTGTTACATGTACCTTTACTAGTAGGCTTCTTTACAAGATTAAAAAAATGAGACTCCTGAAGATACTGTATTCCAGAAGTAAAAAAATACTACAAATTAAAAAAAATTCAACGGAACAATCATCATACGGCAATCAATACTGCAAAGAAGCTACTTCGACGTCTTCTAAGACTTGGTGCTTCTTGTACGCACTAGAAGTACAGGACACTTCCACGCCCACCACGTGCTGATTTTGTTTCCGTTGGAAGCCAGCAAGTGTATTAAATACCTGAGAACACGAACCTCCAGAGTGATGATGGAACGAGCGCACACTCTTTCCGATTGTAGGGCACCGATTGATTTCATCAATCGGTTTGCTCACAATTCTGTTTCGAAGAAAGTGAAAACCAAATCTAATCCTATCCAATTCCTCAAAATACAAACTATGTTTTCCTCGAAGATTCTCTTTGCCTTCCTTCTCCTTGCCGCATCCGTGCAAGCTGATCTACGTGGTGCTTCTTCAAGTGTGCTAGATGTAAGTAAAAGATTTAGCTTTTTTCTTGCCGTCCAAAGGTTGACGATCACAACCCTTCATGTCCTTTCGATTTCTTATTGTCCATGTCTTCTGCCTTTATTCTTACGCAATGTGATGCTTTTGATCTGTGTGTATTACAATTGAAAACGGATATGCTCATGCATATATCTGCCTCGCAACAATACAGAACACCCGTGAGTTGCGTCGCGCAATGAAAATGGGAATGAAGGGGAACAAGCCCAATCGGGAGTGCAGAACCTTGATGAAGGCATGCATCGAGAGCGGCAGCACGAAAGAGGAATGTCGCGCCCTCTATCCTGATTGCAAG